CATCAGCATAACAATGAAAGGAAAGACCATGTTTCCTCAGGATAGACCCTAAGGGGAGGAGATACAAAGAAAACAAAAGGGGTCCAAGAATGGAGCCTTGTGGGATCCCGTAGGAAAGAGGAACTGATGTAGATAGTGTTAGCAAAATTAACACAGAAACTCCTGTCGCTCAGGTATGAATGGAACCATTCTAATGCTGCACCAGTAATCCCAACCCAGTGTTCTAGCCAGGATAAAAGGATACTGTGGTCCACAGTATCAAATGCAGCGGTAAGGTCAAGGAGTACCAGGACTACAGACTGACCAGAGTCATTTGCCAGAAGAATGTTGTTGCAAACCCTAACTAAGGCTGTTTTGGTGCTGTGTAGTTTCTTAAAGCCAGACTGAAAGATCTCAAGAATAGAATTTCCACTCAAGAACTTGTTGAATTGAGTGAAAACTATTTTCTTCAGGATCTTAGAAAGAAAGGGAAGTTTGGAGATGGATCTGAAGTTTGAGCAGATTGAAGGGTCAAGTCCAGGTTTTTTTTTATTAAAGGAGTTACCATTGCATGTTTAAAAGCATCAGGAACTACACCTGTAGCCATACTGCTGTTTATAATGTCAAGAACAGAGGGTCCAATGGAGGGTAGGACTTGTTTAAAAAATGATGCAGGGATGGAGTCAGCAGGGGAACCTGAGGGTTTCATACCACTGACATCATTTAGAAATGAGAGGGATATCAGTTCAAACTGGTTAAAGACTGATGTGGAGGGGACAAAGACAGAGGGGTCAGCTGTGGTGTGAGGAATCAGTGACCTGATCGACTCAACCTTTTTAACAAAGAAACTGGCAAAGTTGTCACACGTAACTGCGGAGACCTCCCTGTTGGCAGACTGAGGCATGGTTAAAATGGGGATAATGGTATTGAAAAGAACGCAGGGGTTGTGGCTGTTTCAGGTATTGATTTGGGAGAAATATTTTTTTTCTGATTTAACAGTGGCCTGGTACTCTTTGTAACATGAATTCAAAAAGCGTTCAATACAAAAACAACTGGACTTTATTTGTAACAGAAGACGTTTCGCTCCTCATCCGAGGAGCTTTCTCAATTCAAAGAGCAGAGAGTGAGAGATTCAGAATACAAGGCTGAGTGAGATAAGACACACACACATATGTAGATTGGCAATTCACACCTAAACAAACTTAACAGTAAGAGTCTTTTGTTCCTCTAATTCACAGACGAGGCCCCTTTGTTTCCATCAGGTGTGAAAGCCGGCTG